GCAGAGCGCGGTACAGGAGCTTCTGTTTCCTGTACCTGGCCAGACTGACAGGAGGTGCTCACAGAGAGAGCACTCCCTGTCAGTCCGTCCGGGTACAGAAAACTGAAGCTCCTTTAGGGGATCTGCTCCGCTCGGCAATGCAACAATAGAGGTAGGAGGCACACACCAGGAAGTGTGACCACTAAAGGGGTGGGGGTGCACCAAGGGACAGGGAGGGAATGGGAGAGAAACACCAAGAGACAGGGAAAAAAGGGGGGAGGGGGAAAGGGGGGAGGGGAGAAGAACACTAAGGGACAGGGAACGGAAGGGACCACTAATGGTCGGGGAGGGGAGAGGGGCTGGTTAAGAGGCACATAGGTGAAGATTTTAGGGGGGGAGGGGGGAGGGCGGAAAAATGCATCTTCGCCTATGTACCTAAAAATCCAAGCACCGGCCCTGCACATGGGTCATTACAGAGGAAAATCAATCAATGAGCTAATCACATTTATCATACCCACGAGGACAGTCCTGAGTCCAGATCCAATATTTCAGGCATATTGTCTCAGTACAAGAGACACAGCACAGCTAGTATTCCTAGTATTCTTGAACTCTATTTCATTGGGATTGTTCATTTTTTAGCAATTCTGTGTTCAGGCTGGTAACAAAGGGAAGCAAGCTCTTTTCAAGGAAATATATTTGTGTTCTATCAGAACATTTATTGATATGCCAGATTTCACCACCTTTTGTAAACGTTGTCTTTCCTTGGGAGTCAAACCAGCACACACAGGGCACTGCTGTAGCATGTCAGATTCTTCTGTCTGTCTGAGTCCTATGTTTAAAGGAGCACTATAGTGCCAGGAAAACAAATTAATTTTCCTGGCACTATATGGTGGTCATTAGGTGCCCGAACCCTCAGTGCCCCCCTCCCTCTGGGCTGAATGGGTTAAAACACCTTCAGCCACTTACCTTTCTCCAGCGCCGGGCTCCCTCTGTGCTGGGGAACTCTCCACCCACCCCCTGCCGACGTCAGATCCGAATATGCATGCGCGGTAAGAGCCGCGCACGCAGTCAAACAGCCCATATGAAAACATTACTCAATGCTTTCCTATGGACATCCAGCATCTTCTCACTGTGAACATCTTTCTCTGAAACTGCTATGTTTTCAGCTGCAGAGTTAAAACTAGAGGAACCTGGCACCCAGACCACTTTATTGAGCTGAAGTGGTCTGGGTGCCTATAGTGGTCCTTTAATTCAGCACATACACAAAGAAGGAAGACACAATATATCTCCATTTCACTGAAATTCCAACACAGTTAAAATGAGTATTTCAAGGGATGACAGTGCCGCTTTAACAAATAGCTTTAAATTAGTTTAAACCTTCATTCCAAATAAGTTCAGCAGTTGAAAGAGTGGACATACTCGGTCATTAGATTAAATTGTCCATTAATTTCCTTTAACAAACAGCTCATGAGCATTTCCTTTGATAATTTGATACGTTTTGGTTTTTATGCATAGAAGCGTGTATACATAAAACACTTAGTTATCAAGGAAAATTTGTCACCAATTAATGTACTCAAATAGGAAGATTTCTATGTTCTGTTCTAAAAAGTGGAGTAAAGTCCCATGGAAAAAAATAATCTAAAAGATGCAAATCAGTAAGTTTCAGTTTTGGACATCAGGGTCTACTGAAGCCACAATACCGAACGATTGACGCATATGATCATATTAGGAAGACCAAAAGGTCAATGATCTTCTACAATACCCGCTAGGTTTATATTTCGGTAAAGTCTCAGGTTGGTATTACAGTTCTGTAATACACAGCATTCTATCTATTATTTATTTTCAGATTCATGACAGCAAACACTGAATATTTAATGGTAGAAAGGCAGACGCTTTGATGGGGAGATAACTTCACACACCAGTTATCACTTTGACTTCAATGCTTCACTTGCTATTGCCGATTATCCTCCACGATTTTATTTATTCGGTAACTTCTATAATTAGATATGACAAGTGTTTTATCCTTTGCAAATTAAAAGGTCATTTACATGTGTTGTGTTTATTAACGCAATTATTGCTGATTTATTAACTTTGCCATGGAATTACTTTTTTCTTTAGTCTCTGTGTCTTTCTCCCAATGATTACCCCGGGTACGTTCTAGATTACCCCAAGGTAAATCCTTATCCCTGATCCCCTTTTAGTAGCTGTACATGTAAGTCTGAAATGCTATTGTTGATCTCACTGCCTAGTGGTTCTATGGTTGGAAGTATTTTGTACAGTCATGCCTATGGGCTGTTCATTTCTTCTTCTTCTTCCGTGATGACCACAGTTGCCCACCTCTCTTTTTCATTCTCTCAGTCAAAGCAAAATCCCTTCCGGTATTCCAGAAGATCTATAAGGTCCCTTAAGCATAGCACTCATCAGATAGAATTACTTTCCCCATCCAACAGCAGTTAGAATTTTGGGTAGCTTTTACATTAAATGCACTTAAATAGGAATGACTGCCAACTTGGATATACATATTCTTTGCCTGTTACAATGTGTTTCTGCCTTCCTCACCCCAGCACTGAAGGAAAAAATGTTTGTTCCTGCTGTCTGTGCAAACCTTTTATAAACTTCTGTTAGCCACGTTTATTTTTAAAATCTCAACTTAAAAAGATGAAGTTATAAATGTTGTCGTAAAGTATTGTGGCACTGAAAAGAATGCAGTGGGATTATAAGGCCATCTTCAATACTGTGTGTCCTTACAGACCTAGGTACACAGCCATACTGATGCTGTAATGCTGTCTGAAACCCCAAACCGTAGATTTAGGGAGACCATAGTTAAACGGAGACTTAGGGTTTGGCAAGCTAAGATTAAGGGGTATTTAAAGTCAGTGGGGTAACTGCTTCAAAGTGCTATGAACTCAGAGCAGTATTTAACCATGAGCAACACTAGGCTGCAGCCTAGGGCCCAGGGGTTAGACAGGGGCCCTGGAACCATTGATTTGCTTCAACACATTAACCATCCTTATGTGCAGAATTAAGAGGGGCCCCAAACGGGTAACCTACCTAGGGCCTCATGGGATCTTAATCCTTCACTGTATGGACTTTACTTTTCAGGCTGAAAATCAAGAGAATTAGCCATGAATCAAGAGAATTAGTCATAACTACTGCTTACTAAATTACACCCTAACCCTACGATTCCCTAATACCACTCCAACCCTAATCCCTGTTAACCCTAAAATGGTACCCAGACCTTAAATCACACTGTAATCTAATTTTAGCAGCATTCTTTTCACCTGCGTCTCTCTTCACTTGAAAGTGCCTTAACACTTATCTCACTTCCCAATTAGTCTGCCGATCTAGACCGCTTGAGTTCAGACACAAAGCTAGCTTGATTACATTTGAAATCAAGCACAAGCAATTGTCCAAATCTCCAGATAAATGGTGTTGGGGGGATTTCCCTGTTAATGGAATAAGCAGCTTAATGAATGAGAAAACTAGGTCAAGCTGTCTAGAGTCTGCTCGGCAGCCTGCCTATAGCATAGTGATTCATAACCAACAGCATAGAGCAGGTGCGGAATCCTAAGAAGGGAATACAATTATTGTGCTAACTTGGCATACATTGGTCTCTAACTCTCTTTACTGCAAGTCATTCTGGTATCAAATGGTTAAATTGTGGCTTACCAATAAATTCCACACAAAAAAAAACTATGACGTCAGGGATTTTAAAGTGGTACACGGCTGTATGTGCTCATATACTGTGGTGTCAATTTGTGACATTTAGACTTGTGCACGAATCCTTTTTAGATGTGCTGGACAAATCAAACACCTGTCAATCTATTGACAAATGAATCAATTGGTCATGTTTTGACTAACAAATTGTTGGTTCATAGATTGGAAGGCATTTCATTCGTTGAGCACAGCTAAAAGAGATGTGTGCCCAAGTTTGGTGTCATCACACACAGGATCATTCACTAAAGTTACAACTGACAGGAATCCAAAGTGAATTTGGAAATGTAGGCCAAAACAGCCAAATTTGAAAAATTTCCCTAGTCAGTTCTGTTTTCAGTTTGGCTATATTGCCCGTACATTTTAAATTCACTTTGGTTTCCGGGCAATTCTGGCCTTGTTGATCAACTCTTTTAGTGTCCTTTACAATTACAAGAACATGTCTGTTCAAAATAAAGATAATCATGGAGAGGGCTGAGGCACGGGCAGGGCCGTCTTTAATATTGATTGGACCCTGGGCAAGCATCTGCTTGGGCCCCCTGGGCATGCAATCACTCCCTCCACCCCAACCTAGAGGCGAAACTAATGTAGAGAGTGCCTTGGTGCAAAAAAATTATAATTCAGGCCTGCCCTGTAGCACAAGAGTAAAGAAAAGATAGATCCCCATCTGTCATACAACTCCTGCGATGCTATACCAGGTGGGGATCTACCATCCTTGCAGGGTTGTATTTTTGAGCAGTGTTTGTGCAATTGAATGTCAGCATGTTATTGCATAGAGTGTATGTGTGCATGTAGGGGTGTATTTGTATGTACTGTTACCATTGGAATGCAGTGGTGTACTTGTGTGTAGTGTTTGCGTTTGAATGCAGTAATGTGTGATTGTCTGTAGTGTTGGCTTTTAAATGCAGGTGTACTTTTGTGTGTAGAGTTGGTGTTTGTATATAATTTTAGCGTTTTAATACAGGAATGTGTTTGTATGTAATGTTTGTATTTGCATGCAGGGGGTTGTTTGGATGTAGTGTTGTGTACATTTGTGTGTAGTATTGGTGTTTCAGCAAACTGGTGTGTTTGTATGTAATGTTTGTGTTTGCAGGGCTCTGTTTGCATGTTGTGTGATTTCTATAACACATATACACATACACATTAACACGCAGATACACACATAGGCACACTGACACATGCTCACACCTTGACACATACTGGCACATACACACACACACTCAGATACACACCCTTTGACACACAGATACAAGCACTTTGATACACACACACACTGGCACATCCACACACAGAGGTACACACACACACTGACACAGGTATGTACACACACACTCAGATACACACATACATAAAGGTATAAATGCAGGGGTGTATATGTGTACAGTGCTAGAGATGGAGTGTATTTGTGTTGGCATTAAAATGCTGGGATGTATGCATTACCACACACTCAGATGCACACCTACACACACTGACACATACATACATACATACATACATACACACACACACACACACACACACAAACACACACACAGGTACACATACACACTGACACACAAGTACACATAGACAGGTATACATACACACAGAAACACTGACACACAGACAAACACAGCCAGATACCAACACTGACACAAACACAGCCAGATACACACAAGGACATAAACACAGCCAGATACACACACACATATATATGTGTACATTTACATATTTTAATCTCTGCCTTCTAGCAGCTCTTGGACAGCAACTCCCAGCAACCTTGGCCATAATAATGTCTCAACTCTGTTCTTACATACCCTGGTCCAGAATTTGGCAAAAGTGACATTTGAAAATGGTGTACAGCCTTTGATAACACTTGATGCAATAATATGTTAAAATAAATACTTTTAAAATTTATATTTAATAGGGAACTGTCAGGTTCTTCTAGGATTTTTAACAAGTACTTATTCCCTGTGTGTTACATTACAAACACCAACACTTGAATAAAAGTGATATCAGAAATAAGCAAAACAAAAAAACAAAACATATTTAGCCACCCTCCTGTCTCCTTACATTTTGGGTACAGAAAGGTGGCTTCCCTGGTGTCCAGTGGGAGCTTGTTGGCCCAGGCTGATGGGAGTCTGCCATCAGCTTTCTCAGTCCCTTTCCCCAACAATGCTTGCATTCTCCTCCATGTGGTGTGTGCCTCCTCCCCAGCGGCACTGAGGAGGAAGTGATCTGACCTCACTGCCTCCCAGCATGCCACGGAGAAGAAAAGGGATCACAGGGCAGTGTGTGAGGGGCTAGCTGTGTGTTTGTATTCAGCCAACCCCCATATTACAAGGGCCCGGTCCAGAGCAGTATTAAAGGGCTGTGGCCCCTGATTACCTCAGGTGCTGCAGGGGCCCCAAGGAGTAACTGGGCCCGGGGCAGCTGCCCCTTTTGCCCCTCCTTAAAGACGGCCCTGGGCACGGGGGTCGGGAGAAGGAAGAAAAGGTGCCAGTGATTTAGCTTTGTAATTCTGGGTTTGTGCTTTTTTTTGCCAATATCACAACCCACCTTTATTACTCACTGCAGTTAATGGTGATGTGATGTCATTAACTTGCAAAATTGCGCAATTCCACATCCGCATGTTTTACTGGTCTCACAAGACACACACCTTACATAGTGGATATTTAGTTTACATTGTAAGAGGCATAAGGCTATTAGAAAAAACAGTATACCTAGTGCTGTGGCAATGTTTTGTACATAATACAGATAAAGGAACAGTGCACACATGAAAATACAGTTTTCAATTTTATAATGCTACTTAGAGGATCACTATAGGGTCAGGAACACAAACATGTATTCCTGACCCTATAGTGAAAACCCACCATTTAGGTTGCTTGCCCCCCCTTAGCCCCGTAAGAATGGGTTAAAACTCACCTTATTTCCAGCTCACCACGGGTCCGCGGGTGCTGTGCCTGCCCCCTTGGTGACATCATCAAAATTACCGATTTTTAGCCCATGGGGAAAGCATTGGATTGGCTAAAATTGGCAAGGGGGCGGGGCCAAACACAATTTTGGCCAATCAACACCTCCTCATAGAGATGCATTGAATCAATGCATCTCTATGAGGAAAATTCAGCGTCCCCATTCAGAGCGTGTGGACGCTGAACGGCAGGGCTGCTTACTGTGCAGACCTGAGCCAGGAAGCCCCTCCAGTGGCCATCTGAGGAGTGGCCACTTGGAGGTGTCTCTAGGGGCAATGTAAACACTGCCTTTTCTCTGAAAAGGCAGTGTTTCATAAAAATAAAAGGGAGTTATTATACTCACCAGAAATACTACATTAAGCTGTAGTTGTTCTGGTGACTATAGTGTCCCTTTAAAATCACCTATCTTAAACAAATATGAGGATTCAGTTCCACCATAAGGCCATATTGTGTTAAGTCCGCCTTTATGTCACAGTACTGCAATATCTGTGGGTCCTAAACAAATTTGAATGTGGGAGTTAAATTAAATAATGCGTATTTAATTAATCTGTTGTAATAGTATTGTGAATATATGTAATGCAATATTAATGTGATAAAAAAACTAAATAACTAGTGTTATCCTTTTTTAAGTAGCTCTGTTTTCTATTAAAGGGATTCTATAGAGTAAGGAATAAAAAGTTGTATTCATTACACTATAGAGCCCCCTGCCCATCCCCTCATGTCTCCACAGCTCATAAAGGGTTAAAAAACAACAACTTTTGTGTGCTCATCTTATTCCAGCGCCAATCTCCCATGCTGTGTTGAGCACTGCAAGAGCATACTTCAATGCTTTCCCTATCGAGAGTTTACTGTTGCTGGCTGTCCTTATTCAGAGTGTGAGGACATCCAGCATCAGTTAGGTGACCCAAAGTCGGTAAGCCACCAAGAAGTGCCTCTAGTGGCTGTCTGATCGCCAGCCACTAGAGGCAGTCTTAGTCCTGCAATGTAATTATTTCAGTTTCTCAAAAACGGCGATGATTTACATTATAGGACTTAGTGGGACAGGGACACTGCACCCAGACCACTTCAATGAGATGAAGTGGTCTGGATGACTGTAGTGTTCCTTTAAGTTTATATTAAAAATTCAGCAAATTACATCATAATCTAGTACAGACAAGGCATAGCTAGAACAAACTTTGCAAATTAAAAGGAGAAATAGAAATAGAAACATTGTTTCAGTTCTCCTCTTCTCTGTATGCTTTCTCTATGCCATGGGTATGCAACCTTGGTGTGGACTACATCTCCCATAATGCTTTGCCAGCACTATGGCTGTAAGAGCATTAAGGGAGATGTAGTCCACAACAACTGGAGTGCTGAAGGTTGTTTACCCATGTTATATACATATGGGTAGCTAAACTTAAACGTCCTGGAGGGTGACAATTCCCCTCTAAACATTCCCTTTGGCATTAACTGCAGTAAGTTGTCCAGTAGCTTGTCCCGAGTCCCATGATGCTCTGTGTGTGTGACAGTATGGTCAAACTTGGTTTTGTAAGTATGAAATGACGAATGAGAGGGGCAGGCACTGGCAGCCTATGTCACAGAGGAGGCAAAGTTACGGAGATTGACAAGTTCTGTGGGCACACAATCTGATGGTGTTCAATGCAAAAATAGCAGATCTTCCCAGTCATCATCAAGTTGTGATAAAACAGAAGTTCCTTAAAGAGTGTCACATTTGGACCGAGAGATACACTCCAGATACATAAGTGAGTATTGTACTGATCAGGCACATAAACTGGAGATAAATGGTAGCTCTATAAAGTGAATCTATTTCTCCTCTATTACCATTTTATTTTATGTTGTGCACTATATAGTTGTTGCTTTTTTTTTTTCATATCCCCATCCCAGGGTGGGGATTGTGCCACTGTGCAATATCAAAGAGGAGCCATCTTGAGGCACCATTAAATGTAAGTTTACTTATATATGGCGATTCTTTGTCAAAAAGACTACACCATATTGTTTTTTTGGTCTTCTCTTTCATATTTCCCTGAAAGTCACATTTGGACTAAGAGACACACTTTGGAGCCATAAGCTAGGATTGTACCGCTCAAGTGCTTAAAATGGAGCTAAATTGTAGATCCACAAAGTGTAAGTGTAGTATTACTACTTTATAAGACTTCAGTTTTGTCCCATTCTTATCATTTCATATGACCAAAATTAAAGGACATCTAACGTGTAGCTCCCACCTTCTCCTCCACTATACCATTATTCCCTAATGCTTAACTACTTGTGTTTTGTGTTAGCAAAAAATATTTACCCATCATCCCCAGTGAGTGTGGTCTTTGGTGTCTTCTAGCTGTGGAAAAAGTTGAATATTAGGAAAAATATATTTATTTATTTTTGGGGGGGAGGGGGGCATTACCTGTAATAAGTTGTCCAGTAGTTTGTCTCCAGTTGCATGCTGCTCTGTATGAGAGAGTATGGTCAGACAAGGCTTTGTAAGAATGAGATGGCTTTTAAGAAGCTCAGACCCAAAGTTGTTGTGATCTTAACCTAAGCCACTTATTCTCTGAGTATCTTCATGCTTAACATATTGTAAGACCAGTAATCCAATTATGGGAGTCTGTAATGTCTTAGGATAGAACAGTGGAAGATTAATATTAAGTGTTAATATTAACTTTTATTTATAAAATATTTATTTATAAAATATTTTACCAGGAAGGATACATTGAGATTTCTCGTTTTCAAGTATGTCCTGGGTCCACAAAACATTGCATTGATACAATAGGGTACAATATTTCAAAAAATACAATATACAAACTATATACAAACAATATATATATGTGTGTATGTTGTACACACACACACACACACGCACACACACACACACACATATATATATATATACAAAACATACAAAATACACAATCCAGCGCACTTGCTTATTCACTAAACAATTATTTCAGATCTCACTTTCAAAGGCATAAGCTTGCCACAACGTCAATGTACCCCAATCTTGGCAGGTCCTACTCTAGCAGCCTAATGCCTGCCCTTATGAGATTAATCCACTTACTTAGGAACTACTTCCTCCTGGGACTCTCTGCAGGTCAAGGCTAAATAGGGTCCTGGAATTAGGAATCTGTGACAGGGAGGGGTGCAAAATCAAGTAGTTGGCCTGGACTCCCAAATATATAAATGAAACCAAGAGGGCTGCACTCACCTGAACATGCATACATTATAGGGTGCTGCTGGGGCCAATCTATACAACATACAAAATACACAATCCAGCACACTCGCTTATTCACTAAACAATTATTTTAAATCTCACAGATTAGGGATGATTCAAAGTTGAACTACTTAATTGTGATATTTAATTAATATCCAGACCATGAGCAGACTGCAGGATTAAAGCTAGGCTTTGTGAAAATGTAAAATGTTGTTTTCAGAAAAAAGTCAACATGATAGGAATTCTAAATTTCGAAGATGCTTTTCTATGCATTTTTATGCATTGTGGAAATTTTTGGCAGTGCCACTTTAGTTCAATAATGCAAACTCCAAGATATACAATTCTTTAACTTATACATGTTAGGGTCCTCCTTACTGCATTATTGCCACCTTTAGATGGATCCATACACTCCTGATAACACGTTATACCACCCAAGAAATAAAGTTTAGCACAAAGCAGAAATAAATGATGGTGCTTCCCAGGATATTTGTCTTTATTATATTCTCTGTAGTTGTTCTGGTGACTATAGGGTCCCTTTAACACAAGTTATAGGTGATTTTAAATATTTTTTTCAATGGTGTGAATTCCAGTAATCCCCCATTAAGGAAATGCAGCTTTAAATGCTACAATCTCAGTTTGAGCATAGAGAAGACTTAAGTGAGAAACAGGA